TTTGAAACAATTTTGTTTTTGGAATGGGGATTAGAAGATACCTAACATGAATCTAAGACTAAACCACAAATGAATTCCATTTTATGTTAGCTTGTTGCAGATAATTGAAAATAATGGAGGAGGGGAAAAGGGAGGACAAGGATATGGAATTCCCTGCATCCTAATTTGAAATTTACAGTAGCAAATCTGAGTTTTCAAGTGGAAGAACAATGATTAAGAGGCTGTCATAAAGAGAATACATGAAGGAGGGGGATTCGTGAGTTTCAAAAGGAAAAAGAAAGAGGTTTGGTAAAGAAGAAAATAGTAACCGTTGTCCCTTTTTAAATTTTGCAATAACCGTCCCCTTTTAATTTTGTAATTGACGGCCTATAAATTGTGTAATTGACATTCTTTAAATTTTGTAATTATTATCATTTAAATTAGATGATCAATGCCCTTTAAATTTGTAATTGTCACTAAAAATTTTGTAAGTGTTTCTCTTTTTATTTTTATAACAACTACTCATATTTTTAAACTTTTGAAAAGATTCAAAGAATTATCATCAACCTAAATAAAAGTTTTAGGATTGGTCAATAGATACATTTATGAACTAAACAAGGAAAATAATAATTTTCCTCACATACATAAATCATATATTTCATCAAATAATTTTAAACCAATATATCATTCAAGTGTACATATGTTAATTTAAGTCCATTAAAATTAATGGAGGAGATATAAAAATGTATTATTTGCACGCGAATAAAAATTTTAAATATTCTTTACCTATTTTAAAATTTTACAATTTTATTTAATATCAAACTTTTTTTTTAAATAAGGGGCACTATTTCTTTGAAGAGTCTAATTTCAATTGTTAGTGGGGTTTTGGTGTTAGTGAGGCTTTGGGGTTAGATGCACGTTAGTTTGTTTGTCTTTTATTTAATTTTATTTTATTTTAAAACTTTTTATTTACAAGCAATTTAGTTCAAAATTTTTGAATATTTATTCAAATAATAATCAAGAAATCAACCTAATAACTATGTACTGCACTTCTTGACGATCATATGCTGCACTCCCTTGGTTCTCACACGGAAAAACGTGATCCATTTGTGCGACATGAGATTGTGCTTTATTTTAATTACAAGATGATAGGGAGTAAGTTGGAACGCTAAATATTGCGTTTTGCCTCCCTTTTCCCAAATATCTTGTTCAGAATTCAGAAGCGAGCAGACACAGACCGACCACACAAACTGTAAAACCTCTCTAAAACCTACATCCCTCTTTCTCCCTCAATTCTATCCCATAATGCACAAACCTCTCCACATTTTACCCTCCACCAAAATCCCCTCCATTTTCTCTTTCCACTATCCCTTCTGTACCCCCAATCCCCACCAGAAGCAACTCTCCCTCCAGACCCATGTCAGCCCAGTGAATTCAATCAAGACGTCGGGATATTTTTCCGCAATTGGCCGGGCGATTGAGGAGGAAGAGGAGTACCGGAAAGCCCGAGCTTCTGTTACTAGGAAGGGTATTGATGTGGAAGGGTATTCCATCGAAGGGGTTTCTATTGGAGGCAATGAAACTTGTGTCATAATTCCTGAATTGAAGTCTGCTTTCGATATTGGGAGGTGTCCCAGCAGGGCTATTCAACAAAATTTTGTTTTCATCACTCATGGCCATCTTGATCACATTGTAATCTTCTTTTACTTTTTTTGAGTAATACGTAAATTACACTTTTTTCAATTTGGCTAACTTTTTATCTTCTTTTACTTCGTATTTGTCTATTGTAGTGTTTGTTTTGACATTTTGGTGTGTTTAGATATTAGATGTTTGAATTAAAATGCATTTGAAAACTTTTGTGATGATAGATATTTTTTGTTCTCTTCACTATTTGAGTTTCTGCTACAATTTTTTTTATTGTTTAGTTACTTCATTAATTAAACTACACTCTAGGCACCAACGTGATTGTTTTTCGGGTTGGATAGCATTAGACTAATCATTGGAGGATATTACTTGATAGTTACTACTAGAAGATCCTAATCTGGTAACGTGAAGAACTGAGTTCAGATGGGAGGCAATGGGGTTACTGGCGTTCAAATATATGTGTAGTTTGGTAGAATTTCTCCATCAGGAACCATGTTCTAGGTTGAGGTGATGGTGGTTATTTGTTCTGTGAACGAAACCAAGTTATGTTTACTTCAAATAAAACCAAATCTCTTGATAGTTCTTGTCTAATGCTTTTGGAGTTTTATTTGGTTGTTTCCTACACTAAACTTCATTTTATTTGAAATTTTCTCTGGTCTTTTGGTTGTTTTATGCGTTCTAGCAACTTTGAATTTCTCATCCTTGAGATATTTGCTTCCTGTAATTCTGGATTTTTATCATAACTTCACCTTGTGTTAACAAAATCAGGGTGGGCTGCCCATGTATGTAGCCAGTCGTGGTTTATACAACTTAAAGCCTCCAACAGTGTTTGTACCGCCATCAATCAAAGAAGATGTTGAGAAGCTGTTTGAAATTTATAGGGCAATGGGCCAAGTGGAACTAAACCTTGATTTGGTAGCACTAGATGTTGGTATGTAGCTTTGGTTAGAAACGTCTGTAACCCTTTGATGTTTATAATCTTTATAATGAATATTGCCAACTTAACTTCAGGTGAAACATATGAATTGCGGAATGACATTGTTGTGAGACCTTTTAGAACTCACCATGTTATACCAAGCCAGGTATCTTTAACTTTTAATTCTGTGAATTGTGCAGAAAATATAGAAAAAGTATATATATTTTTTATTTGTGAATGTTCAAATCTCTGAAGTTAGATAAATAAATTATAAACCCATCATTGAGAAATAAAATTGTGATCCACCCATAAATAAGTTTTACCATTGATATCTTCTGCATGGTTGGAGGTCACTGCATTATCTCAGACTGGACCAATTTTATTTCTTCTTTTTCTTTGTTCTGCTGAATTTCTCATGTTTTTTCTGGGCTTCTGGGGAAAATGCATCTTGTTGCTAGCTTCACCCCTGTTGATATTCTTGGAAGTTTAGTTTCCGCGTTGGAGATTATACAATTACTTGGTTTTGTTCAGGGTTATGTCATTTACTCTGTCAGAAAGAAGCTGAAGAAGCAATACATTCATCTGAAAGGCAAACAGATTGAGAAATTGAAGAAATCTGGTGTTGAGGTTTGCACCTTAAGTGATATACTTTTTCTTTATTAGGGACTCATTTGACTTGACACTTCCCTGTACAGATTACAGACATTATATTGTCTCCAGAGGTGTCATTTACTGGAGATACTACATCAGACTACATGCTTGATCCACGAAATGCGGATGCCTTGAGGGCAAAAATTCTCATAACTGAGGTATTGGCCAAATCAAATACTGTCTTTTTCCTCAATTCAATTTATATTGTGGTAATTTTTGTGGTTTTTCTGGGGTTAAAACCTATTACATTTTGGCAAATTTCCAAATAAATTGCCTTGTGGAAAATTTGGCACAATATGAGCAGCTTCAATTGCTGAAATGGCGGAATCAATTTGGAAAGTCTAATAGACAGTAACCAAACATGTCATATTAAAGGCAAAAATGACTTAACTTTGTGCACCCTTCTAGTATAACACAGGTGAATGTAAGTGCAAAACTTCTTATACATTCATGCACAATTACTTGTATTAGTCTAATAGATGAAATTTTTTGTTCATTTCATTATGTATAAGAAACAACTGTCTTGATAAGAGTGACAAATGTAAAACATAATTGCACTTAGCCTACCTAAATGTCTCCTTAAATTTTTAGAATTGGAAAAGTTGGGAAAAAATTCCCAGCATAGATGTACAAATCTTCATTCCCTAGCTATTGGTGTTCTTGAAGTCACAGCTATTACAGAAGAGAATGCCTGGTCACATTTGTTCAGACAATGGCCTGTATGTAGCAGTGATATCATAACAAACTTGTTCTTTTGTTTTTTTTTTGGTACTAACCCCCCAGTATTCAAAAGTCACATTGGGCCCTAACTAGTCCGAAATCGAGCCATGTCGGACCCCATAAGGGGAGAAGCTCTTCCAATGATTATTTCTCCATTCACAAGACTCAAACTTAAAACTTTTGTTCAGGGATTGAGCTCCTTCTCCTTGGATCCACAGATTGTTGGTGTTGTAATAAACTTGTTATGTGTAGTGTTTGCTTTTGTTTCCTCTTTCATCCTATTCCTTGAATTAACATTCAATATATTATGGCCTTCAGAATCTGCCGTATTCTCATGATGTTTGAGCTCTTTTTAACAGGCAACTTTCCTTGATGAAGGGTATAGCATTGAGCATGCACGAGAGCATGGTCACACTCACATATTTGAGGTGTGTACTATTGATTCTTTCACTCTAATTCTGCACCACCTTGGGTAAGTTTCAACTTTATTGTATGTGCAAATTGTAGATCATGGAACATGCACAGTGGATCCGGAGCAAGGCTGTCCTATTAACCCATTTCTCATCCCGCTATAACATAGAGGTGATTATTCAGTCAAATTGCTTGTCTCCGTTTTAGTTCCTCTGACACAGCCATTCCCATTGCATCTCTATTAGCTGTTAAGAAGGTTTGACAGTCCCGTCAACAAGAGAAACAGATTAATACTAAAGTTGCTCCTGATAATCCCATTCGAAAATCATCTTAACCAGATGGTTTAGTCCTGTCATTTGAGGTTTCTTTCCATTTTCCAGACATGAAAGTAGAACATGTGTGTGCTTTAAAATCAAAATTCGTAAATTTTATGTAGAAAGCTATGAGTCATCACAAGAAATAGTTAGCAAAAGTGTAACATAGAAGCAATTTCCTTTTCATCCTGAAATCTTTCTCCTCTGCTTAATGAAGTATTATTGCTTGTAGGTTATGTGGAAAATGCCTTCTTTGAATTATAATAATGTCAGGAAAAAACAATAGAATAGGCTACACATTTTGTGAGTCTAGTAATCTCATGTGTGAGCACCATTCATCCCAAGTGAAAATCTTGTAACATATGTATCTCTTTTCGATACAGGATATTCATCAAGCTGTTTCAAAGCTGCAGGCTAGAGTGTCGGCAAAGGTGGTCCCTCTAATGGAAGGTTTCAAATCAGTGTATTCTTAATTATCTTCTGTTAGCAGATAACATATCTGAGGGCAGTCTAGAATCTCGGCAAAAGTGGTTCTTGGCTTTTCTAGAAAGTTCACTGGTTCTAAATCCTTGAGGAATGCGTGCACAAGATCATGCCGATTTGGCCCAAGTTGAGAACAGCAGTAAATTTCAGGTTTGGATCTGCCTCATCTCTAGAGTTCGTAATAGTTGCAATCTTTCTTGAAGATGACATGGGCAAGAGAAAAGAAAGAGTTATGTTGATTTAATTCATAGATGATGAGATGATAAGGAAGTTAATATGCTTTGTTACTTGAGTCTGAGACACATGCATACTAATATTCATATTTATACGAGACTATATAGTCTAGGAGGAATAATGGTCTATATTATCTAATATTATAATAGAAATGTAAATCTAAAAATCCTATTCTTTTTATGAAAGTGACTTAATCCTTCCCAGCGATCTAAAGCCTATAATTTTTTTCTTTAATTGAAAAGAGGCAACAGATGTAAAAGGCTGTAATGAGTAGTTGTAAGTCATTGTAATCTGACTTGCATGATTTATACTAATATGGTATTTTAAAGAATGTAAAAAATCATGACGTATCGGCATAAAAAATTTCTAAATGTTGAATCTTAGCCACATAATAGGTGTGGCTTGTGTAGTTCCACCTAACTCCCATCCACCATGAGGTTGAGATTAGACATAACATCTTGATTTTTACTTTTATATTAAATATTACTG